TTTACTTAAGTGCTTTTTTTCTGTTGCCTCGATTTGCAGTTCTAATCGAATTTGTTCGCCGATTTTCACCGGCGGTCTTATACCTCTACGCCGTAAAATCTAGATATCTCAAAAATCGGTTATGGAGGAAGGAATTTTACTTCTTTCATTTTCAAGATGTTGTTGTTCAGATAAAATACCGTGTATTTCTGTAAAATATTGTGTATGATAGTAAGGATGCGTTCAAATAATAAATCCTATAAATGCGTACAGTAAGATCAAAACGTTAAACAAGATGGCGGTAGACAAACAAGATGGCGGTGAACAAAGATGGCCGTAAACAGTCACGTGTCTGTAAATTTCGTTTCGCAAAAATAACATATTTCTGCGAACATCGCAATTGTTTCTTTTTACAGTTGCCAAGAATTATATTTACCACGCGTTGTATTCACCACGCATTGTATTTACCACGCGTTGTATTTACCACGCGTTGTATTTACCACGCATTGTATTTACCACGCATTGTGTTTACCACGCATTGTATTTACCACGCGTTGTATTTATCACGCATTGTATTTACCACGCGTTGTATTTACCACGCATTGAATTTACCACGCATTGCATTTACTACGCGTTGTATTTACCACGCATTGTATTTACCACGCATTGTATTTACCACGCATTGTATTTACCACGCGTTATATTTACTACGCGTTGTATTTACCACGCATTGAATTTACCACGCGTTGTATTTACCACGCATTATATTTACCACGCATTGTATTTACCACGCATTGAATTTACCACGCATTATATTTACTACGCGCGTTGTATTTATCACGCATTGTATTTACCACGCGTTGTATTTATCACGCATTGTATTTACCACGCGTTGTATTTATCACGCGCTGCACCTACCACGCGTTGTATTTACCACGCACTGTATTTACCACGCACTGTATTTACCACGCGTTGTATTTACCACGCATTATATTTACTACGCATTATCACGCATTGTATTTACCACGCGTTGTATTTATCACGCATTGTATTTACCACGCGTTGTATTTATCACGCGCTGCACCTACCACGCGTTGTATTTACCACGCACTGTATTTACCATGCGTCCTTTACCACGTACTGCACTTACCATGCGTTGTATTTACCACGTGCTGCACTTACCACGCATTGAATTTATCATGCGCTCCTTACCACGTGCTTACCAATTCGTGTATTACAGTAAAGATGCATTCAAATAATAAATCCTATAAATACGTACAGCTGCAGCCGCATTGAATTTATCACGTGTGGCTTACCAAGTGCTTACCAATTCGTGTATTACAGTAAAGATGCGTTCAAATAATAAATCCTATAAACGCGTAGACCTGCAGATCAAGACGTTAAACAAGATGGCGGAGGACAAAGATAGCCGTAAACGTGTCCATAAATTTGATTTCGCAAAAATATTTCTGCGAATATCAGAATTGTTCCTTTTTCGCATGTCCAAGTAGATTTTGATTTCCCGCCGAGGGACAGTCAGCGAACAATTTGTCATCGGCTTTGCGATACGAGTCGAACGACGGGCGAAAAAACGACGGCAAAGAGAACGGAATCGAAGGTCGTAAAGATGCAAATGCAAGTTTCGCAGAAAAATTGCCGGCTGTCGAGGCTGAAACGGCTCGAACCCGATGAATCTTGGCGTACGCTTCCTGCTCTTATTCCACGGGGACACCGGGAAGAAAATATGCGCTCGTATATTACACGGAGCTTATCGAGTCATCGTTTCCAAAATCTAACGGCTTTGGTCATTAAATTTAGAACACGACAAAGGAGAAACAATCTTTCTGAAACGTGGATTAAAATTCATATTTTTCTTATTTTTTCGCTTTGCGAGCGTCAAAGCTTTATAATCGTTTACGAAAATTATCGGTATCCTTTGCACAAGAACATTTCACGTGTATATTAAGGCACAGGAGGCAGTCAATGCACGCTCGGGGAGAAAAACGATCTTCACGTTTTAATTAAATTCCTTTGGTGGACGATCTATTTTAAAAGGCTATCCACGAGTCTCATTTCTCATTCGTTCGAGCTACAATACCACTGATGTTCTCAAAGACTATTTTTTAGCTTTAGCTCGATAAAAACAATTCGATCGTTCCATTTCTATCTTTGAACACAAAAGGGTTGCTATATTTCATTTCTGGAGGGTTAACCTTTTCGTCGAAATTTAGCCGGGAAATTAGGTCGATTTTACCTCGTGAAATATGTATCTTTCGTAACTGCTTCATTTATGATATACTAGATATTGTGACGCACTTTCGTGACGCACACTCTAGTTCATATGTGACACACATCACGGTTCAGTCCTATTTTTATTGAATTCTGGGTACAATTCTAAAACTAGCAACTGTTGTTATTTGTAAAGGTATCCTTTCGTAACTGCTTCGTCTACGATATAGTAGATATTGTGACGCACACTCGTGACGCACACTCTGGTTCATATGTGACACACATCACGCTTCAGTCTTGTTTTTATTGAATTCTGGGTACAATTCTAAAACTAGCAACTGTTGTTATTTGTAAGGGTATCTTTTAGTAACAGCTTCATCTACGATATAGTAGATAGTGTGACGCACTTTCGTGACGCACACTCCAGTTCATATGTGACACACATCACGGTTCAGTCCTATTTTTATTGAATTCTGGGTACAATTCTAAAACTAGCAACTTTCGTTATTTGTAAAGGTATCCTTTCGTAACTGCTTCGTCTACGATGTAGTAGATATTGTGACGCACTTTCGTGACGCACACTCTAGTTCATATGTGACACACATCACGGTTCAGTCTTGTTTTTATTGAATTTTGGGTACAATTCTGATTCGATCGTTTTAAAGCAGCAGATTAAAAATAGCATCTTGAAAAAGCCTTGGTTGAACAGATTTCCTGGAGGAAAATTAAATCTCTGGATCTCGACTAAGCACACGATTTACAGCTGCGAGCATCTTCCGCGTACCGTAGGGAAATGTTAGAACGTCGCTGTGCACACTTATCAACTTTATTTCCTCCGACGCTTTCCATTAAAACAGAAATCGATCGCGAGCAACAGATCGCTTATTCTTCTCGCGGGAGACGTTTCTGCTTTTCAACGAATACTATGGCTGGCTGGTTTTCTCCGCTTCCTATCCGTGTGCACCGGATACGTGGTTATCATCAACCGGATATACGAACGGTTCTTTCGTGCGCTTTTTTTTTGCTATACCTTTGTCGTTAAACTGTTTGGAAACGATTCGGGCTTTCATATATCAAGTAACTTTCTTCGGATACGTTTTTCCAGGTTGATCGAAAGTCGGTTAAATTGGAGGCTGGCGATTTGGCATGGAATTCGGTGGGGTACATGCGGCGCGTTTAGCGGCCGAGATAAATGGCCCTCGGCTTCGTCATGATTATATTTGTTCGACCGCGGTACATGCCCATACCGAAATCCATTGTTTTACGACCCACCTAATTATACATTGTGTAAACCAGCGTCACTTAACCGCTGGCCGTCACATAATCAAGCAAGAAACGACCTATTCGTGATGTTTCACCAACGATGTGTTCTACCAAACCTCAACCTATCATTCTTTTAATTATAATCATATAATGTTACATAAATAAAATAGGTGAAATATTGTGAAAGTATCTGGTAAAGTTTATCAAAAATTAAAACACTGCTTGCAAATTGAAAAGTGTGGCAATGTGTTAAAGAATTTACTGAGTCGTACGGCCATCTTGTTCGTTGACCGCCATTTTGTGCACAAACTTAACCTATCATTCTTTTAATCATAGCATAATCATGCATACAATTGCAATGTTACATAAACAAAATAGTTGAAATATTGTGACAGTATCTGGTAAAGTTTATAAAAAATTAAGACACTGCTTGTAATTGAAAAGTATGGCAATGTGTTAAAGAATTTACAGAGTCGTACGGCCATCTTGTTCGTTGGCCGCCATCTTGTGCACAAACTTAACCTATCATTCTTTTACTCACAGCATAATCACAGCATAATCATGCATACAATTGCAATGTTCCATAAATAAAATAGTTGAAACCTTAACAATTTTGTTACAATATTTATGCCTTCAAAATTTAATCAAAATATGTTTTGAAAAAACATAAATGCAACAAGATATCATAAAAGTATTTGGTAAAAATTAAAAATTAAAACACAACTGCAATTGAAAAGTGTGGCAATGTGTTGAAGAATTTACTGAGTCGTACGGCCATCTTGTTCGTTGGCCGCCATTTTGTGCACAAACTTAACCTATCATTCTTTTACTCATAGCAAAATCATATCATATTCTTGCATACAATTGCAATGTTCCATAAATAAAATAGTTGAAACGTTAACAATTTTGTTACAATATTTATGCCTTCAAAATTTAAAAGAATATAAATGCAATAAGATATCATAAAAGTATTCGATAAAAATGAAAAATAAAAGTGCTACTGCAATAGAAAAGCAACGTGTTAAAAACTTTATAGAGCGATAAAAATTTACAGAGTACGGCCATCTTGTTCGTTTACCGCCATCTTGTGCACAAACAAGTGCGGCGGTAAGTAGCTTTTGCATACTAAATTATCTATAAGTACAGCAACGTGCTACTAGGCGTTTTTAATAGACCCTCCATTTATTCGCCTTACTCGACCTCTTTTATTCGCATGAAATATTAGAACACGTTTAAGAAAATGAAACGTGCTTCATGAAACTGGCGAGTTTTTCGCATTAACGGTGCAACCGGTCGCATAACGTAGCCTGACACTTTTATGGCTCTTCGATTTTGCAGTTTAACGTGTTTTTAAATCGCTCGTGATATATTCTAGGCTAGACGGGAAATCCCTTCGATAAGCCGACCGCTTTCAATTAAATTTATTGCTGTTTGGCAAATGTTTTTCGTCTTACCTCTCTGAAATTTTTCGTATTCGTTTTTAAATATTGTCGAATTAAAATTAACTTTGAGATATTGATTGTTTTCAGATAATGGGCAAGTGGTACGTGGTGGAGGTGTTGGAGCACCACGCCGATCCTTTGAAACCCTTGACCGGATCGTACGTGGTCAATTCGTGTCCGATCGTGAAGCTGAGAGCGATCGAGAACTCGTTGAAGTTTTTGTCTTCATTGAGGCTCCTGTGGACCGAGGGAGCCGGCAATCTTGAGTACACTTTCCGAATACCGGACATCACCAGGAAACCGGGCTTCTGGATCTCCAATTCTCTGCAAAACGGTAAGCGCGAACATTTTTCTGGCCAACTAAATCGCAAATAGAAAAACAGAGTTTGACGAGTTTCACGTCTAACAGTTGGGAAAATGCGAAAAGTTTCGAACAAAGCGAGCGCGGACCAAACTGAAATCGTTCCTTTTTTCCACATATATGAAAATGAAAACCGAACTTTTTACACAACGCGAAACTGCCGAAAATAATTTAACGTTGTCGGGTTTAACAATCTCCAGCGGAAATCAACAAATGAATGTTGCTTATCGTTTTTATTTCTGCGGATTATCCTGCAGAAGCTATCGAATCTCTGAGCCGAACAATTCTCGCGGAATAAATGAAAGAACGGGCTGGTCAAGCGTACGGGTGTTTGACCCAGCGACGAAATTAGAAACGTGCTTCTGATCGAAACGTGACCTGCTTCCTTGCTTGAAAAATGAAATTTCTTCGAGGGCTTCGATTCTTCACCTAGCATTCTCAAATGTTTCCAACTTTTAAATTAACTCTTTCAAATTTATTTTTATACTTCGTATTGACATTGTCTCGGCTTTTTCTTACTGTGGCTTGGAAATAGAGCTGGATCTATTCATTGAGTCTATTCGACCGAATCGATGAGCCGTATAAACGCGATAGGACAATGCGCAGGAAGTAGAGTGGAACCAAAGTTAAGATCGTGGGTCATCGGACTACGACAATTAAAACTCTATACAGGGTGTCTCACAATTATATGTATATGTTCATTATATATAATTAAATATGTAGGTCCCTGAAATGGGAGGTAGCTGACGTGATTCTGAATAAGATTTCCCTTTGCAAAAATGGGGTTTGAAGCTTCATTTTTGAATTATTGAGGAAAAACGCGGATTAATCAGAGCGCGAGGATTACGCATGCGCAGACGCGAGAGCGACAGCTTCGAGCTAGCGGTTGAGCGCGTGGTACTTACCACGCGTTGTATTTACCATGCACTGTATTTACCACGCGTTCTTTACCACGTACTGCACTT